TTAATTCAAATTCTTTCCACTCTTAAAAATTGTAGCAACAACATGTTGACATGGATACCCATTTATTTTCCATTTTCGACATGAACAAGTTCTCAAGACAAGATCAACTATAACTGAAGGAAAACAATGCACTTCAAAGACATTATTAGATGATAAATTCGCATTCCATGTTCTCCCATCCATAAAAGCCTTCTCCAATACACTATCCATAGAGGACAGATAACTTTATTCTATTTACTAGAGAGCAGCCTCCTATCAGACCTCATATTCATGATTTGCAACCATATCATGTCCACCAAATTTGTTATTGGCAAGTGCCGAGCTTCTTGTATCAATGAATTGAATGGCTCAGCAACATTTGAATACATCTCACCATAACGTTTCCCCTCAAAATATGCATATCTCCAATTTTCATATGGTAAACTTCTCAAGAAAACACTCACAGTGTCTCATTTCTCACTTTTTAATTCATTTAACTTGAAATGGAATGATGCCTTTGTTGGCGCATATGCACATTCTGAAAACTTGGACACAATCGTTTCTCTAACCAAATTTATGTTTCCACATGACAACTTATCCCTCAAATTTCTCTTTAGATGTTCAAAACGAAATCCATGAAAGCAGTTAGGGAAAAACCTAGTAATTCCTTTCACAATACCACAATGTCGGTATGATATGAAGCTTATCACCGTCTCCGATCCCAATACTTCACATAAATGTTCAAAGAACCAGCACTAATTGTCTTTATTCTCAGCATCAACAATAGCAAAAGTTATAGGAAAAAAAATCTACAAAACAAATAGGAACAAGCATATTAGATATACACATACGGAGAAAATTAGAACAATAAACAACCAGAGAAATTTGACGCTGCCAACATTCAAAGAAACTTCATACAGTGGCCAAATCTAGAGAAAATTCACATAATAGCAACCTACAGAGAAAATTCACTTGATGACCAACTCCAGAGAAAATTCACACATTGACAACATCTAGAGAAAATTCACTTAGTGACCAACTGCAGAGAAAATTCACACAATGATAATATCGAGAGAAAATTCACTTAGTGACCAACTACAAATAAAATTGATACAATGACAACATCTAGAGAAAATTCACACACTGACCAAAATCTAGAGAAAATTCACACAGTGGCCACAACCAGAGAAAATTCAAAGTGTTAGAGAAAAACCACATTTAGTCAATTTCCACATGTATAGAAAATTCACATACTTAGATAAAATTAGATATATTTACAATTATCTTCATTCTCATCTTTCCCCGTTGCGGCAGGCATAACTCCTTTGTATCGCCCTTTAAAAAATGTTCCATCAAGAAACAACAATAACTGACAATATTTGAAACCAGCAATGCATGCATGAAAAGTCACAAACACTCTTTTGAAACGCTTGTTATCTTCAAAATCTAACTCAAAACGTCTACTTGGATTGTTCTTTGATGCCTCATCAAAATACCACCATAATTGATCGAATGACAAACAAGAATCCCCATATGTACTACATTTTGCTTTTTCTACCCCCAACTAACCACAATTATAACTAATTGAGACCCCATACTTTTCTTTCATTTCTTTGACAATATCCACTGGACAAGTTAAAGGTTTTGCACTTAGCTCTTCAAGTATTAGCCCATAAACTAAGCTAGAAGTCATCCTAGCATGTTTACTAGTACGAACTGTCACACCATACGTATGTTCATTGTTCAAAGTTCTTATGTAAAAGAACCCGTTTGTTTTTTCAACTGAAGCATGTACACGCCACATACATCCCCTTGATTCCTTATATGCACATTCTGCTGTAACCCTTGTCATTTTTAACGTACGTAAACTAAAAACCAACTTCAATAGCATACTTGCATAAAATAGTACGGAACTCAACCACACCGCCCTCAAACTTTTGTCCAACACTCGTAATATTATTTCGCTAACCTGCTGACAATAACATTTTTTCTTGGTGAGAACAAAACTTAGAGAGTGAATTCTTTTCAATATCCACTAGCCTATCACATTCACCATGCATAACATCTACCCAATTAGACCGTATTTCATCATCTTGATCAGAAATACTGCACCTAATAATAACTGAAACATCAACTATATCAACACCACATGCACAAACAGCCCTCAACATATTCAAAAAATTAATATTATTTCGAACCATACAATTCAGATGGTCCATAATAGAATATGAAATGCACATCGTCTCAGGTTTCAAATTCTCCCATGTTTTACACAAAATGCCAACCGATTCCTTAAAATTCAATTCACATGAAACATTAATGACAATAGTATAATTCCTATATTTGCAAAGCAACAACATTGCACTGTCCATCGATGAAAGAAAAAACAAGAAAAATAATTTGTTCAATATAAAAGCACTTCACAAGAATAACATAAAAGTCCAAAGAAATTTCTAATAATTATAATTTTCTCTGGATTATAATAACAAGCTTATAATTTTCTTTAGACTCAAATAAAAGTCTAGAAACATTTATAAACTTATATTCACCTTCAAGATAATAAAAACAAAATCACAGAAAGCTTAATAAATCCAGAGAGAATCACAGAGAAATTTACTGCTAACTATTAAACACAATCATAGACAAAAATCACACAGAAGATCTGTTATGAAATTATAAGTTTCTCTGTGATTTTCACTAAATTACAAGCTTACAATTTTCTCTGTGTGATTGTGCAATATTGCACTCATATCAAAATTCAGAGAAATTTACAAACTTATATACACCTTCAAGATAACAAAAAATACTGCACTGTCCATCTAAACTGAAAGAAAAAATACAAAAAATAACTTTTGCTCAGAGAAACAAAAACTTATATTCACTTTGAACTACAAACTTATAATTTTCTCTGAACAACAAACTGAAAGTGAATAACAAACTTATAATTTTCTCTGAACTACAAATAAAAGTCCAAAGAAATTTAAGAACTTATATTCACTTTCAAGATCACAAAAACAAAAACACATTAATATCAAATTGACAAAAATACTAACTATTCCACACAAACGTAGAGAAACTCATAGAGAAGATCTGTTATACTCATAGAGAAGATCTGTTATGCTCACAAAACATTCAATTGAGAAAAATAAGAAATAAAAAATAACAAACTTATAATAACATGTCCATAACAAATTACAATTTCCTCTGTGATTTTCACTGGACTACAAACTTACAATTTTCTCTGTGATTTTCGCTGAACTACAAACTTACAATTTTTTCTGAGATTCTATCTGCATTACAAACTTCTAATAATATGTCCATATGAACTTATAACTTTTTCTGTGATTTTCGTTGGATTATAATAACAAACTCACAATTTTCTCTAGACTATACCAACAAAAGGGCAGAAAAAACAGAGAACAAAACTTAGAAAACAAAAAATTATAAGAAATTTAAACTTATCTTTGGTTTAAAGAAATTTCTTTGGTTTGAAAAAATAGAGAACAATGTTGATGAAAAACAGAGCACGAAAAATAAACTCTAAACATCAAAATCAACTCCACTGTCAACTCTTTTTGAAATTGATCAAAAAACAGAGAATGAAAAATGAACTCCAAAAATCAAAATCGACTCCTCTCTCTAAAATTGATCAGTAACAGATAATGAAAAATCAACTCCAAAAATCATAAACAACTTCACTGAGTTAGTCTCTCTTTTAAATTGACCAAAACTGAAAACAAAAATCTAGTACAAAAATACACTCAAAAAACTAATATGAAATCGGAATCCTTGCATAAAATTCAAAACAAAAATTGAAATCTATGTGAAATCTCCATCGAAAACATACATGATTCAACTCAACTGAAAAACTTATATGATCAACACACTGTAACACCTACACGATCGTAGCAATTTCTATCGTCAAGTCCACTGCAACACTTGCAAAATCCCTACGAAATCTCCACCACGAAATCAGTTTCCAAAATCTCCACCGTGAAATCAGTAATAGAATATTAGTTTGCCAAAATTCAAACAAACTTATATTATAAAGAATGGTAAATTAGGTATTTTATAACGTAAAATAAGGTTGAGAGACCTTAGCCATCAAAACATATTATTGTGAACCTCTCCTCCTATCAAAAATTGGGTAGGAATCTGAGACTAATTTTCCTTAAATTTTAATAGTCTTTTATTTTGAAGTAAAATATTTATAATTAATACATCATTGCCATTATATGTAAAAATTATATATGAATTTTTTGTTGGGGGAATTAACAAGTAGGGCCAGTCCCTTGACTCGAGCAGAGGCAGGCCTCCTTACGCCTTTTCCTCAGTGAGTAGAGAAGAAAATTATAAAAATATGAAGAGTGCAAATAATTTATAGGGCCTGGCTTTGGTCCAATCCATCATCGGATTGGACCGTGTTGTTGGGTCTGTAGGGGTTCATCACGGGTCCCGTTTTGAAAATATGAATCGTTCAATGTGTAAAACTCGTCGAGTACTGTATGTCTGAGAAAAATCACGTTGATCGAATATCGATAGCTATGTGATCAAAACAGCTTTTTATCAATCGTTAATTTATTCACTGTCTATTTTTTTTATACAAAACTGATTTGATCACATAACTATTGATATCCGATCAACGTGATTTTTCACAAGTATATAGTACTCGATGAGTTCTACACATTGAATAGTTCAGATTTTAAAAAAGAAACCCGTGGTAAGACCCAACAGCACGATCCAATCCAATGACGGACTGGACCAAAGCCACACCCTTATTTATAACGGAGTACAAGTGAAAAAGCTGTGGGTGTAAGTTTTACCTGCATCCCTTCATGTTTTGTATAATTTTTTTTTTTTTTTTTATCTCTCCTTTTTTATTTTTTGGTTTGTTTGTATATATAGCATTTTTCTTTATTTATGTTATTAATTATTTATTAATTTTTTTTGTTTCTTTTTTTGAGTCAATGTTTTTTTTAGAAGGAGAGAGAAGTGACACGGATTAGGGGAAATATGAACGAGAAAAGAAAAAGAAAAAACCAAAGCCCTGCAGCGGTTCACTCGTTCTTGAGGTTGAGAGAGAGAGAGAGAGAGAGATTGGGGATGAGCGGGACCTCCAGTCTGTTACAATTATGGCAGATTCCTTTAACCAAACTTCTCTTCACTCGCTCCAGGTTTTCCAAAGGTTCTCTTCTCTGTGTGTGTCTATCTATATATATATAGGTTCATTTTGTCTGTTGTATCCTCAAAATACATTTTATGACTAAACTTATTATCATCACTAGTGTTCTGTTGTACTTCTTTGTGGGTTTTCTTTCTAATTATATTTTATGCATATATGCCTATGCATTTTCATATATGCATAAATGCTTATCAGCTTTTTTTTTTTTTCAAATTTATATGCCCCATTAACAATTACCCTTCTAATTGCTCTGTGGGTTTTATTTATTTACTCTTTCTATTCCTGAAGCTGGATTGTTGCAAAATATTGAAAACTTGCCTCTAGTTTTATGATTGGTCATATCTTTGGTCTATTTTATTTTTCTGTTTCTTGTTTTTGTTCTATCTAGTGTCTATCATATTTTGTTTTTTTTTTAGTTTGAACTATAGTTATGCTTGTCATGGGCAATATGATTGTTCCAAACATAGCCTTAGTTGCTGACAAATGAAACTGAAACGTTCGAATCCTAATCCTGATGGTGGATTGGTGCAAATTTTTAAAAACTGGCCTTAGCTAAGCTAAGTAGTCTTTTTTGATCGGCAAGCTAAGCTAAGTATTCCATTAGCTCTCAGTCAAGTCTTTGGCCTACAGTAATGCATATACTGTTTATTTACTTTCTTTCCTCGTTTTTATTTATTTATTTTTCTTCTTTATTTTCTAACATTGTTAATTTCAAGTATATTTTATTTTTCAATATCTGTTTGAAGTGTGATATCTACAGCCCACCTTTTTATTGACACTCTGCCTTCAGTTGCAGGTCTCTATATGGGCCATGGAACAGAAATGTATCCAGCACTATGCTTCTGTAAGAATATACAGACAGCCACATATGAAGTTGTGAATGGAAGTTATGTATTGACTTCCCAAACTAAAGAAAACAAAATAAAGGTACTTCCTTTCGTAATTGTTTGTTATGAAAAGTTTATAACAAATTGAACTAGAAGAATTCCACAATTGTTGATTTACAATGTCTCTTGAATTACTCGTAGAAACCAATAATTTTATCAGACAAAAAGATGACCCATGAACCATCCCTGTATTCCATTTCCATAAAATATTGAAATTAGCAATCCCGTTGACGCCGAAGGTATAAGAAAACATAAATAAAGCAGCCATAAACATATTAACCTGCAATTAGTATAAAATAAAATCAATAAAAACTTATTAGACATGGTCTAGATAGGGCCTATTGGAATTCTTAATTTGCAACTTTTCTTGTTACTTTGCATGAAGGTGTTGCGGGTGGGAAATAAGGAGTTTGTGGAAACTTTATAACACTCTTTGTATGTTTTAATGGAGAATCTTTTGTGAGAAGGCGGAATATGTTGGGGTCAGATTCTTGCAAATTGGGTGATGTGAGAGGGATTTGTTGGAGAGCTTTTTGATATGGAAGAAGTTGTGCAGAGCATGATACGAAGAACAAAAGGGAGAAAAGAAAATTCATACATAATGTGATTTTGACCTCCCCTAATCAAGTTTTTGGGTTGAATTTCAGTCGGATTATGCTTCTGAACAGATTATCAATATATTATGAAGTTTTAGCCTTTTAGGTGTCAATGGTAGTTCTATCATGGGTTGTAATATGAGTCCGTGAGTTGAGTAGGGGCCATATTACATATTGGATCATTATCATATGTGGTCTTATTTTGTGAAACTTTTTATATATAATAAAAGTCTTAGTCTAAGGAGGAGGAAAGGAAAGCATGACACCCACTAGAGTTAAGTTTTAGAATTTGAGATTGTTGTATGATATAACTCAGCCCTAGAGAGTGTAAAGCCTCTTTTTCTTTGCATGGATATCCAAATTATTTGGTGTGGGACAATTTAGGAAAACTTAATGTTAAGCAGTCTATGGTTGGATTCATGGTGGGTTCATGGAAAGAGAAAGGGCTTTTAGTGTTAAATAGGCTTGAAGGAAGGATTTAAGGTTTATGCACAAAGAATTAGGTATGGTTTTCAAGGGGACAGCTGGCTGGATTTCAGAAATAACATGCTTGAAATCTATGGTAGCTGCCAACCAAACATAGTTGAGCTCAAGTAAATTAGTTTATTTTATAGCCCTAGGTCTTTTTTTGATTATAGGGCGTTATTGGAAAGTCATATTTTGCCTCATGTGTACCTTTGGTTGGCAAGTTTCTCTTTGCAATATAGTGACAGTAGATGGACGCGTTAGGGGAACGGGCAGGGGCAGACCTAGATTGACGTTGGCGAGTGTGATAAATAGAGATATGAATCTCCTTAATTTGACTAAGCAAATGGCCGTTGATAGAGTCTAGTGGAGAAGAAGGATTTATGTAGCCGACCCCATTTGATGAAACTTAAGGCTTGGTTTGGTTTGGTTATTGTTATCATGTGTATAATTGTTTCCTAATCTTAACCATATATTGCACAATATGGATATGGTTAAAGAGGCTATTACATGGAAGATTCTCAAAGATAGTATTCTTTTGTTTTGGCTTGGCTTTATATTTGCATTTTTCTGTTCGTTGTTTTCTCCCACATTCTAATTATGTGTCTGCCCAAATTGAAAGGCATGAGGAAATGAATATATGTGGTTCATTTGTTCCAATTCCAGGATAAAGCATTGGAAACACAAGAAAATGTTGGGGCATTTCAAAAGCTACCCATGGTGATGCCATCAGTTGATATTCTTTATTCATCCCTGAGGAAGGCAAAGAGGGTCTCAGCTACAAAAGGTAATAGGCTACCTGCAAAATTGAATTTTCTTTGGTGTCGAATGGATTCGAACTTGGTTATGAAACCAATGGCAAATCTTGATTAGTTTGTGCTCCCTTAGGCATTGCCAATATAGCAAAACGCGAGAGAAATAAAGGTGCAAAGCAACTTGATGCGCTGATGAAGGTAAATTGTTTACTAATATTTTCCATTATATCTTTAGTTTTGTACTTTTTCACTAAGATGCACATACACTTCTATGAATGTGTTCTTTTCATGTTGGACACCGTCACCCATTGGACATGCCTTGTAATGTGTCCAACACATATCTACATGTGTCATATTATTATTTTGAAAATATTCCTAAAACCGGACACATAAGGGAGGCACTTCAGACACATAGGGAACACATCTCTATTGCCTGGATACAAATGCAACATGTGGTTTGTGGCACAAGAGTGAAGAAAATAACTTAGGGGGCCGATGATTTAAATCGTAACAGTATGGATTTATTCCTATTAATCCTTCCTTTAGCCATTTTTTTTAAATAATCGAAGAAACCTAATACTTCAGATTTATGTGGGAATCAAGCTTCTTAAAGATACTAATATTTTCCCATTTCTTTTCCGACATATAAAGTGTTAAAATAAATATATTTTTTTACTATTTTTGATAAAATAAAGTATAACTTCTTTTGTTACACAAAGATTGAATAAATCTTCATTATTTTCATTCATATATATAAAAATGTATATTTATTTGTCAAACTGTCCCTGCCACGTTCGTGTTTTGATTTTTTAAAAATTGCTGTATCGGTGTGTTTGTATCATGTTGTGTGCGTTCTCATGTCCATGTCATGCTTCTTAGCTTTCCTGTGTGAGTGCTCACAGTTTATGACACAACTTTCTGTTTCCTTCTTCAGGAACTGGCTGTTCCTTTAAGGATGTACAAGGACAACTTTCCAAACAAGAAATATTTGCACCCTTATGAACGCTCTCTTATCGAGTTGACTCTTGGAGATGGAAGTTATGAAGAGGTAAAAAGTGTAGTTTGCTTCCATTTATGTACTTTCCTTGTGACCTTTGGCAATGTTATTCGTCCTTCAAGGTACCCAGATTTCTTTTAACCTTTTTAGAGGTTTAATAATGTTGCAGCACTAAAACTAGTATAAATTATTTCTGATTATTGTATTATGGTATATGAGAGTATAGATACCTTCCAGTTTACTAAAAGAGTAGCCTGGCAAACAGTGGTATAAATAGTAGTACTACGTGCTCTCTTCATCATCATCATCGTTACTATCATCACAGTCTTCTTTTATTTGTCCGAGTGTGTGCTAGGATGTTGGACTTGCTTTCAGAAAGTGGAAGTTTGTTTTGTATAATTTTGTATGACTATTGTGACTTTACTGTTGCACGTGATGTTTGGATACTTGAAGCCTTCAATTTAACCAGATTTTCTATGTATGTTTGATCATGTGCAAAGATTCTTAACCTGCATATATGACATGTTTTTATGTCAACTGGGGATCTCCTTATGGTTTGACAGGTTTTGGGAAAGGTTGATGCTTTGAGGAAGAAGGTGATATCGGTTGGAAAGGAACATGCATCACTCTGTGCTAAGGTTGGATTTTTTTTTGGGTGAATGCTAAGGATGGATTTTGGATCTTCTAAAATCTTAAACTATGGTAGTCCTAAATCTTAATTGCCTAATATGAATCACTAGCAATCAGATGAAATCTAGATTGATTCAAGCTTCTTGAAAACTTACAAGTTCTGATTTTGCTTAAATTTTTATTCTTTACCTTCCTGTGCACCTTTGAAGTCTCCTATGAGCCTCCCTACATATTTGCTCTTCGTGATTGCCTCGTGCATCCAGATAATTTTTTATCATAGTATCACCTGGTCAATTCGTGCAAACTTGTAAGGATATAAACAGTATTCACTTCATTTTCCATTATATTTTGCTATTTCAATTAAAAAAAGAAAATTGATTTTCTAATTATAACAGGTCATCTTACTTTCTAGACAATTGATCGATAAATGTTGGTTTTCCATTGGCCTTAAAATATTTGTGAATAAAAGTTTAGGTAGCGTTTGGTAACGTTTACGTTTTTGGTTTATATTTACAAAAATTTTATAAACTGGTTTTTGTTTATTTTTAGAAAAACATAAACTACAAACACGTTTGGTTTGAACAAAATATTTGAAATTTTTTAAAAACATAAACTAAAAAATATGTTTGTTCAGGTCTAAAATATTTATTTTTATTTTTTATTATTTATGACAATGAGATCGTACACATTATAATTGAATAAAAAAATTAATTGATTTTTTTTTTTAAAATTTCTGTTTAAAAACCAATGTAAACTCATTTTTTGAGTTTATGTTTTGTCCTCAAATTTATAAACTGAGACAACAATTTATAAACCTAAAAAATTATCAAACAAATTTTTATGACAGTTTTTAAAATTTTTGTAAATATAAACTGAAAACTGAAAACAAAGTGATTACCAAACGGGTACAGTCTAGGAAATTGGGCATTTTTGCAGATAAAAAAGGGCATTTCTGCACTTCGGAATCTTTTGTTGATAATAATGTTTTTTCTTTTAATGTCTTAGTAGAGGCTGATGTGTAGTTTTTTTTTTTTTTTGGATCGTTTTGCTTTTCTTATCATTTTTTCCCTTCCATGCTAGAAGGCTGACTAGTTAGCACTTTTTATGCTCTCTGTCTCTGTCTATCTCGTGTAAAATTTGGCAGTCGACAACAAAGCGAGAAGCAGAGGAACGATTAAATGAGGTCAATTATTTTCTGCATGCAGATTACATTCATCGATGCCTCAGTTGATTGTCCGTTCAATACAGCATCTGATGTCTTTCATGTCGGTCATTTTATTTGCTCATTATTTTATCTGCAGGGAATGGAGAAGCTTGAACAGATTTTTAGCCATGATGGAAAAGCTGTTGACGATCTATTGAACGTTGCCAAGGTAATTTTCCATTTGAGATACAAGTCTTTAATGGGAACCAGCTAAGTTAAATGTCATTACCTCGGTAGAAATCTCATTTTTTCATTTTGTTTGCCATTTGGAAACACGTCTTTAAAGCAAAGCAAACTAAAAGAAAGGTCATCTTGGTATAGATCCTTTTTTTGTTCATTTTGCTATCTCTTCCAATCCAAAGAAAGTATGTTTATAATGTGTCATTATTGTTTTTTTGTATCTACTATACTGTGTGAATTGTACCAGCATGCATATATTTTTTATTGTGAACCCTTGTATGGCCTAACAGATACATTTTTCTAATTAATGAATCTCCTTGCTTGGTGCAATTCCCCTTGAGAAAATCACTTGAACACAATATTTTTAACTTGCGTAGCAGGTTGAATTTTGGTCACATTGGGTTAATCAACTTTAAAAAAGGTGCATACTGGGCTTTAAATTTAGGCTCCCAGTTAAAGTGCAAACAACATGCTAGTATAAAGTCATTCTTGAACCAACAGAATCTGGATCTATGTTTCTTTGGCAGTTTAGGCTCAGTTTTGTGTTTTCTATGCACCCACTAGTAGTCAAATGCACAGGTTAAAATATTTTTTAGAAATAGCTTTATATTATTATATACATTTGAACAATTTATTTTTCGTAACTTAGGCTACTAATCAAAAGTGCGTTTTTTTAAGACTTAAACTGGGTGTAATGGGGTTGCTAAACATGTTTTTAAAAACGTGGTTAACAACCACACTTTTGGCTTGGGATCATGTTTTCTCTAGACTTCAAATATTAGCATACTTCTATTTGAAATCTAGTAGATGAAGCATAGACATGGGTAAGGACACAGGTATGGACATTGGATATGACTATTTAACCCTAGCAATCAGATGAAATCTAGATTGATTCAAGCTTCTTGAAAACTTACAAGTTACTAGGATATAGACATGGTGGGAATATGGGAAAAAAATTCTTTTATATTTCTATTTGTAAATTTTTATCCACAAACAAACAAAAATAATGAAAAAACTAACATATTACATCAACATGAACAAACCACTTTCCACATACAAAATACTATTTCATCTATTATAAACCACACCAATGTTAGAAGTATGAAGTTTAATAATAAAAATATGGCATTTTTTATATTTTTAATTTATTATGTGAGATAAAATGGTGTCACCTATAACATCATTTTGCTAAGTCCGCAAACCTTTAAATTTAAGGGTGAATGGGTATGACCTCTATGTACCTTTAAATTTAAGGGTGAATGGGTATGAGCTCTATGTACCCGAGTCCGTGTAACATAGATGATTTGGTGTTATCATTGACAAAAAGCTAAGAAGCATGGACATGCCGACATGAAAATTTTTAAAAAATGTAGGACACGACACATGGGGAACACGCGTAAAATATATAATTTTATATATTTATTACATGTCATATAAGCCGACCCCATTTAATGGGACTTAAGGCTTGGTTTGGTTTGGTTGGGTTTATTACATGTCATATAAGGATTAATAATTATTATCTATCAAATATATGAATATTTAAGTCAAAGATAATAATTTTTAAAGTCTAAAGGAGGAAAATAGATATAAATCTACATTATTTTTGTTTTGTCATTGGATTCGGTTATTTTATTTATACTTGTACGATATTTCATATGTTTTGGAAAGTGTCCGATGAGTGTTGTGTCATGTCAGTGTCAAACACAACACATTACCTTCTTAGTAGTATCCATGCTTCTTAGACCAAAAGTTTGCTCCAAAATTATGTTTTAAAAGTCCGCTCCAAAATTCCACATCTTGGCGAATTTATAAGATTTGTCTCTCCCAAAAACCTTGTAAAAGATTGTCAAAGAACTCACAATCCAAGAAAACATGAGAATAACAACTTTTTTGAAATGTATAAGATGTTCAAATGAATGAATGATGTATTCTTTTGAATGGTTTGAACTTTGAATTTATTTTTTAAATGTTATGTCTTGTTGTAAAGGTGGCATAGCAAAAATATGAAGAATTGTCACGAGGTAGTATTCATGAAATCATTAATGTTTTGAAGAATTAAAAAATGTCTAGTATGGTTCCTGAAATTCTAAATGTGTGAAGTACAAGTTTTGAACTTTCTACACTTGGATAAGGATCTGAGATATATGTCAAAGATTACTAGTTGACCATTTTTCTTTCGTTCTTTCTGTGGATAAGTATGTCTAGTTGACGACCATATAGTCACTAAGCATGTGTAGTAATTGAATTTACTATGTAACTCCTAGATTATGCATAAATACTCTTTCTTTGTTGACTCCATTTTTTATTACTCTAAAAAGTAAAAGAATAACATTAAGAAATAAGAATATCTTTTATAAGAATTTGACGCTTAGACACAAACCTGCACTCGACACCCATACCCGAGTCAACGTAATATACATACTCTATGAATCAGTCAGTATATGTAGGTGAGTCACTATGAAAGTATTGAGGTTTTTTAGGGATTCATGTAACAAAGTATATAAAGACTATAAGGAAACTATCATGAAATTTATGGATTAATGTGAGATTTGATTGATGTATAGCTGTAAAATTAGAATTAAGAAGCCATTTTTGAACATATGAAAATATGTCTGTCTTTAATCACATTAAAGTGTCTAGTTGATATTCTCTTCTTTACTTACACCATCCATCTTGTCTCCCTAGGGACCCTATCTTATGTTTTTATTAGTCTACCATATGGAAATTCAGTATTGTGTTTTGTGCTCACTAAATTTTGCTGTTGGTTGTATATATCGTCACTTCCGTATGCATTCTCAACTTGTTTGCATTGCATTGATACCCTACGAGCTTCGTATTATTTTCTTTAAAATAAACATATTGGTTGTCTAATTTTAAAGAGTCCTATTATGATAATATATTTTTCTGAAAGTATACATTTGAGCTTTAACACGGATACAGACTTTAAGGGCAATGCCAGTGGTAGATTTGGAAACACCAACCCTTTGTCTTGTTGGAGCTCCTAATGTGGGGAAGTCATCTTTGGTCCGCATACTTTCAACAGGGAAGCCTGAGGTATGCACACATAGACAATTGTTCTGGTATTTATATATTTATTGATTTTTCTTTTTTTTTGTTAAATGTTCATAGAAGATAATGTGCTTCTCAGAGAGGTGTCTTTTCCGTAAACTCATAATATGCCCTCTTCTTACCTTGAGCATTAAATCCCAAGTCTGTGCTACTTCTAGTTGGGGACTCACCAAATCTAGTTGAGCACTTCTCATGTTTTCTATGGTTTTAGCCATAGAATTCTCAAGAGTTGTAATACTGCTCAGTACGATATCTGGAGCCTGGGCTGGCAAGCTTGGGCGGTCACTTCATACAAATAAAAGTTGAAATTTCTATCCATGCCTAGTCCTTCCATGCCAAAGTCTTAGTGACTTCTAATCCTAACAAATTCTTCCAAGTCCTTGCAAAGCCTCATTAATTTTGTTCGAAGAAATTATAAATGGTGTTAGGTGACAGAGTGTATGGTTGGTTCTTTAATGTTATCTCATGAAAATAAGTAGCGGTGTTTTTATATGAGAACAATGCTCTCAGTAGATGAGTGGCGAACAAAAACAGAGTGATCAAAGGTGGAACGGTGAAAACCATTGGCAAGCACAACAACACTGAAGTGATCAAACCAGGTACGAGGGGACTGCTTAAGACCCCAAATCTAGTTGAGCACTTCTCATGTTTTCTATGATTTTAGCTATAGAATTCTCAAGAGTTGTAATACTGCTCAGTACGATATCTGGAGCCTGGGCTGGCAAGCTTGGGCGGTCACTTCGTACAAATAAAAGTTGAAATTTCTATCCACGCCTAGTCCTTCCATTCCAAAGTCTTCTGTTTTTGTTTTTTGGTGAAAAGTAAGTTTTTTGCTAGCCTAGAACAAAAGTAATCAATATCAACAGTAAATCTGTGCTAGATTTATAATAATAAAAAAACTAGCTGATTGGAAAAAGTAAAGTTTTAGTGACTTCTAATCCTAACAAATTCTTCCAAGTCCTTGCAAAGCCTCATTAATTTTGTTCGAAGAAATTATAAATGGTGTTAGGTGACAGAGTGTATGGTTGGTTCTTTAATGTTATCTCATGAAAATAAGTAGCGGTGTTTTTATATAAGAACAATACTCCCAGTAGACGAGTGGCGAACAAAAACAGAGTGATCAAAGGTGGAACGGTGAAAACCATTGGCAAGCACAACAACACTGAAGTGATCAAACCAGGTACGAGGGGACTGCTTAAGACCATACAAGGCCTTCTGCAATCGACAAACAAGATGCTCTTGGCCAGGAACAATATAGCCAGGGGACTGATCCATATAGACCTCCTCTTGCAGATCACCATGAAGAAAGACATTCTTGATATCAAGTTGATATAAAGGCCAAGACTGATTAACTGCAACAGAGAGAAGAATCCGAACAGAGTTAAGATGAGCCACATGAGAGACATTCTTGATATCAAGTTGATGTTAAGGCCAAGACTGATTAACTGCAACAGAGAGAAGAATCTGAACAAAGTTAAGACGAGCCACACGAAAGAAGGTCTCCAAGTAATCGGCACCATAGGTCTAGGTGTAGCCTTTAGCTACCAGGCAAGCCTTAAGTCGCTCAACAGTTCCATCAGGAAGATACTTAACAGTATAAATCCAACGACAACTCACAATAGATTTGCCAGACGGCAGAGGAGTAAGTTCCCACGTCTGATTCTGATGAAGAGCATGCATTTCCTCATCCATGGCATGCTTCCAACTAGAAATGGACATAGCCTGCTGATAGGTGCGGGGAATGGAAATACTAGACAAGTTACAAGCAAAAGAGTGAAGACCAAGAGAGAGTCGATCATAAGAAACAAAATGAGCAATAGGATGTTAAGTTCGTTTACCTTTGCAGAGTGCAATAGAAAGGGCATCAGATGGCATATCAGCAGGTGGAATAGGGGCCTCAGATGAAGGAGATGAACTAGTCGGGCCATAAGACACAATGCGACGAGCTTGAGACCGTTGATAAACCTACAAAGGAGGGGTAGAAGCTAGAGGAGATGGAGAGAATGTAGGAGTGGATGTGGAAGGAGCATAAGAGAGAAGAGCAGGAGTGAGAGAGGCTGGCTCCCCCACACGAGAAGAGAGAAGATCAATAGATAACTGTTGCCAAGAGGAAGAAAAAAACGGAGTAGACTCAAAAAAGGTAACATCAGCACTGACAAAATAGTGACGTGACTCAAGATGATAACACCGATACCCTTTCTGAGTGCGAGAATAACCTAAGAACACACACTTGCGTGCTCGAGGAGATGAGTTATCCAAACCAGTGTCAAGAACATGGACAAAGGCCACACAACCAAAAATGCGAGGAGGCAAGGGAAAAGGAGATGTTGTGGGATATAACAGAGAATAGGGAGATGTGTGTACAACACTAGAGGGCATGCGATTGATAAGCAAACAAGAGGTGAGAATTGCATCGTTCCAAAACTGTTTGGGGACATGCATATTAAACATCAGTGTGCGAGCAATATCTAACAAATGGCGGTGTTTCCGCTCTGCAACACCATTTTGAGGGGATGTATGAGAACAACTAGTTTGATGGATAATACCATGAGTATCACAAAAGGTAGTTACAATAGATTGTACATATTCTAAGGCATTATCAGCCCGAAATATCTTAATACGTTTGCCAAATTGAGTAAAGATTTCATTATTAAACTTAGAGATGATGAAAGGCAAATCAGATCTTTGTTTCATTAAAAACAACCAAGCCATCTGAGAATAATCATCTACAAAAATAACAAATAAAAGAACCCATTAACAGTGGGAGTTCTAGAAAGACCCCAAATATCTGTATGGACAAGAGCAAACGACTCAGACACACGACTAACACTACGACTAGAAAAAGAACTACGGTGATGCTTCCCAAATTGACAGGCTTAATACTCAATCTGAGAAACATGACTCAAACCCGGAACAGCTAACTTGGGCTTGGCCAAGGAGGAGCAAAAATGCCATTGAAGAGGAGATACACTAGCACTCAATATAGCGGATGGAGGATGAGGAGAGGTCTCAGTGTCCAAAAAGTATAAGCCATCCTTCTCATGTCCTGGACCAATCATCCTCTTGGTCTGGAGGTCCTGCAAAACACATGAAGTAGAAGAAAAGGTTATCGAACAATGGAGAGCTTGAGTCAATTGGCTAACAGAAAGCAAATTAAATGAAAATTTAGGAACATAAAGACCAGAAGGTAAGGAAAGGGATAGAGTGGGATGAAGAGGACCTTGACCACAAACAGGTCGAGAAGATCCATCAGCAAGTATAATGGTATGATCAACAGGTCTAAGAGTATCAAAAAGAAAGGAATTACCAGAGTCTAGGAGTCGAGGCTAAGGGGACTTAGCCACACATGCAATATTACCTGAACTAGCCATGGTAGCAGTAGAGGATGAAGGTAGACTAGGCCGGAGGGACTGGACAAGAGCAGTAAGCTCACTAATCTGAGTAGTGAGTGTCTCATGAGAATTAACCGGAGAAGCATCCGAGCCAGTGGACAACAAGGAAGACTGTGAGGATGGGACATCCATAACCTGATGGACATGATTAGGTTTGCCATACTTCTGCCTACACCAAGGTTCAGTATGACCCTGAGAATCACAATGAGTACACTTGCGATCACCACGTGTACGAGAACTAGGTCCACTACTACCTCCACCACAGAAACCACCACGCGAGCCACCACTACGAGAGCCCCGTGAACTAGAATAAGAGTCCCGGGAACCAGATGAACCATGAAAACCCCCGCGAGTAGACCCATGATTACTACTACTAGAAACCAATGCAGAAGATGATAAAGTGGATTGTGCTTGTCCCAATGAAGAGTGTTAGATAAATTGATAGAGAGAGAATAAATTGTATGTATTATGATTGATGTTTATGTTGTATTGTATGTACATTATATAGGAGATGTAAAGTGGAGATGAAGTGGTGGAGTAGGTGAAGTGGAGGTGGTAGTGGTGTAGTGGGTTAGGTTTAGTGGAGTAGGTGAGGTGGTAGTGGTGTAGGTGATGGTAAATTCTAACAGCCCCCGCAAACTCAAGGAGGATAGAAACTAACCAACTTGAGTTTGAAGAGAGGAACAAAACAAGAAAATACATAAAAATAAAAAAGGATAGGAGACACTGTATGGTCGTGTCAGACCATTGGTGAAGACACTGAATGGTGGTGTCATAACGTTGTAGAGGACACTGTATGGGGGTGTCAGAACCATGTAGAGGACACCGTATGGTGGTGTCAGACCGATGTAGAAGACAGTTTATGGGGTCATGTCGGACCGTTGTAGAAGACACTTTTGTGACAGTTGTTGTGACAGTTTACGGAGTCTTGCTGGACCCTTGTAGAAACTAACCGGAATCAATGTCGGGACAGTTTACAGAGTCTTGTCGGACCCATAAAAAATGCCATAATTTTTTTTTTTTTTAAGACAAATGTAATAAAATAAAATAGTTACAATTATCAAATCAATTTAATTTTTTTATAAATGATATACACACAATTTTTCAAAATTAACGATTCTGATTATCAAAACGAAACCTATAAAACCTAACATACCCGAACTAAACTGAAGGCAAGCCCAATCATTTTCTTATGCAATAAGTTATTAAATTCAACTTAAAAATTTAACAATTTTTATAATATATTTAAATTTAACTTATTTGCATAATAAATTAATTAATTCTTAGAAAGTTAATTACAGGTCAAACTCAAGTTAACTTGACTAATTTTATTCATACATAAAAACCTTATGGTGATATATTGAGAGGAAAATATAATTTTCCGTTTAACAAAAAAATTATATTTTATACGCACGTTTTCAAAATGAATAAGAACACCCATTTTTATTGAAAATTGTTTTCAAAACAAGTCAAAACATATCTTTTTATATGTATAATTTTTGATAATTTTGAAAGCTACAGTATTTTTTAACAAGCAGAACAGATATTAAACTCATTCTCGGTTCTGATTTTCCATATTTTTTTACAACAAAAACATTAATAAACAAGACCAAAATAATTTGTCCTAATTCAATTTTCTCATCATTCATACTTGATTAATTGAGTTTTAGAAGATTATGATTTCATTTTGTAGGCTTCACTTTGCAATTTCTTAACGACCACAATTTCAACTCCTGCAAACCCTAGCAACTGTCTAACAAATACAATGTAGGAGAAATGATCAATACACTCCCTAAAATTTGTCTAAAATACAAATTCCTCCATCTAATTTGAGAAATTACAAATATCAAAGATTGCACAAAAATGATTTGTAAAAATTGGAAGAAAAATTGGAATCCAGGTTTTTTTTTTTTTTTTTTTTTTTTTTTTTGTTTTTTTTTTTTTTGTGGTGTAGAATGGTGAGCGGGGTGAATCCCTGATATGAATAAAGCAAGTGTGTGTTGCAAACTCGAATGGTAGGTGTGGAATGCAGAAAAATCAACTGGAATGAATGTAATTTTTTTTTTTTTTGGAAAATAATAATAATAATAATAAATAAAATGAAGTGTGGGAAACCAGTGGAATCAATGAAGGCGAGGATAATATATTTTAGTGGTATCCACTGACTTTGTGGGCGACAGCAGGTCGAGCATCTTTGATTCCAAGGCTGGGATTGCTTTGAATGATTTCTTTGTGAAGTTGGTGGCATGGTCTGACAACGAGTGGGGTTACAGCACGCGTGTGGTTGATTTGATCGTTCACATGGCAAACAATTGCGAAGTTGTGTGTGGAAGGATTGGCTTTGCTAAGTTGTGTTGTTGTTTTGCTTTATGAGAGATGCGAGAATTCTGAATAAAATGAAGTGTGTGTGTCTATCAGTGTGTGTGTGGGTTGTGTCTAGGGAGAGAGCCGAGAGGGAGATGCTCGACTTTCCATGGCTATCGACGTGCGAGGAAGCGGTTAGATCGACTAACAGGGCGGCGAGGACTCCGATTAGAGTGACGAGGCCGGAGAAGGGGAAGTCCTTCCAGGGGTGTTGAGACGCCACCTGGCAGTCGGCGAGGGCGTCGAAGGCGTCTGGGAGGACGTGGACGAGCGATGTAGAGAGAATCACTCCGGCCGTGAAGCACTTGATTATGAGGATCGCCTTGTCGTAGACCGACTTGCCGTGGAACAGCCGAGCTAGCATCACCGGCGATGATATGCCGATTATGCTTGTGAAGAAGATCACGAAGATCGAGATGAGTTTGAGGTTCGACGCGGCGTGGCTGTTTGTCGTGTCGGTGGCGCACACAGCCATGGCTCTCTCTCTCTCACTCTCCCCTTTGTCAACACTAGGAACAATCAAGGACAGCACTGGTCCACTCTGCAAGCAGTAATCACAGTCCACACGGCACCAGGACCACCATTCTTCAAACTCTGTTTCTGGTCTCAACTCAATTCATCATCGGAGAGAGAGAGAGATTTGAATTGGTTGAGATCCGGCGGGTGGTCAAGGCAAGGTTGCCGCCCGCCGGAAGGCGAAGAACAACAAGAAAGGGAACTTGAAGGTAAGTGTAGAGAATTTTAGCAGACTAGGTTGAGGTCCGACGGGCGGTCAAGGCGAGTTTGCCGCCCGCCGGTGAAGCGAAAAATACTAGTTCTTAACCTTGCTCTGATACCATGTAAAAATCAATGTATAAAGAGAATTGTATAGAGAATGAATGATGTATTATTGATTGATGTATTACAAGATTGATCTATTCTGTATATTACAACTCCTATATATAGAGGAGAAGATGGTAGTGGAGTGGTAGTGGTGTAGTGGGTTAGGTTTAGTGGAGTAGGTGAGGTGGTAGTGGTGTAGTGGGTTAGGTTTAGTGGAGTAGGTTTAACAAAGAGCGTAACAACCTAGAATAGGCATTGGCAGCAGAAGGTAGAGTCTCACTAGCAAGAATCTGATCCTTGAACCCTCGCAACTCAGGATTTAAGCCAGAAAGTAAAGAAGCCATCATAAACTCCTCTCAATGTTGCTTCTGCTTGTTCACATCAGTAGTGAAAGGTCGATGCTGCAGTAACTAATCCCACAAAGTCTTGAGACTACTATAATAATCAGGGAGAGACCGGCCAGATTGACGCATAACAAAAATTTGTTCATATAACTCATAGATCCGAGAGACATTACTTTGATTTGAAAAAGACTTGGCAAGGGAGTCCCAAATGTCCTTAAGAGGTGTCACAAAATTCCACGGTAATAGCAACATGTGGTTCCAGACTATGCCAAATTCAACCTATAACACAGGAATCCTCACTACACCAATCATCATAAGCTTTATCATCAGTATGAGGGAATTCGCTAATGAAGTGTAGAAATTTAATGTATAAAGAGAAATGATTGTATTATTAATTGATATATATTGATTACAAGATTGATGTGTTGATATATATTGTATTACAAATCAGAGTGACATTATATAGGAGAGGGTTTGGGTAGTAGGTGTAGTGTAGTGGAGGTGGTAGGTGAAGTGGGTGCTAGTGGAGATGGTAGGTGGAGGAGTAAATTGGTAAATTCTAACATGAAGCATGACTTCTTCTTACCACGTAAGAAAATTTTGACGGCGTGGGCCCAAGCCAAATAATTGGTATCATTCAATTTCTTAGTAGTGATAGATTTAGGCATGTCATCATCCTTACCCATAGTTATAGCCTTAGCCTCAATCTCAACCATAATGATCAATCACACAAAATTCTCAACACGAGCATGAAAGGGGCAAAATACTTGCAAACAGCCAATACCCACAACTAGCACCAACAATCACCAATATAGACACAGAACTAGCTCAGAAAAACAAAAATCCACAGCAAAAATAGGCAAGAGTGAGGAGAACACTAGTCTGCCAACCAAATTTGGACCCAAATTAGACCAACACACCAACTCAACAGCAGAAATCAATAAATAGAGAACAAATATCCCTTGCTAGAAGGATTTCAGCCCTTATATAGTAACTTTCAATAGGTAGAAATGAAGAAAATAGTGCTGCTGGACCAAAAATAGGCAATAATCAAACAAAACATCAACCCAACAGTAGTAAAACCACAAATTAAGATCAAAGACCCCTAGGGTTGGTATTTTCGGCTCCTAGGGTAGAGATTCCAGCAAGAAAAAATAGCAAAAAGCAATCCCAATAGCAGATTTGAAAAATAGCCCCAAAAAACATGAAATACTTTCAAAAATCAAAAAATTCCACAAAAATTACCATAAATCTCAGGAGGCAATTTCGAGTCTAAGGATGAAGGACCCGTCCATAGAGTGCTTACGTCATGCTGACGTCATCGTACGGCTGATGACATCAGCACGTCTCGGTCACCTCAGATCGATCTCCGGAGTCTGTAGAAACCTTTCTGATGAAAAATAGATTGCTCTGATACCAAGTTAGAATGTAAAATAAAGGAATTTAGGGTTGGGATTTAGGAGGAAGAAGAAGAAGAGGAAAGAGAAATTTTATGTATATTGAATAATCATTGTGCCTCAACTTTACATCAGTCAAATATATATACAAACCCTAACATAGCAATATGACCATCGTGCCCTTAACTTAAGTAAATATTAACAAGAGAACAAAAGAACAAAAATAAGTATTCTAGCATTACACATTTGTTTTTTCTTGGTTCCAACTACTTGCAGCCATTTAGAAATATCCCTGCAAGAGCATTTGTTATAAATTTGTCAGGGCTCTTAATTATAGGGTTAAGGATTGAAGTCCTTAGATGTTTTATTTGATTTTGCATGCGTGTTGAACTACATACAAATGACTGTAGTTTTGCTGTCATAAATTGTTGTTAGTATTTTTTTTATTTTTATATGGGTTTTTCCCTGCCTTAGATCTGCAACTACCCATTTACGACTCGTGGAATTCTAATGGGACATATTGCTTTCGGCTACCAGAATTTTCAGGTCAGTCATTTTCTATGAGGTGAATTTTTCTGGTATCATTCTTTTATGATTTGGTTTGCGCTTAGTAAAACAACACCCAATTAGTACACATTAATGTGTGTTTGGGAGGGGAAAGATTGGTTTGCACTCAGTAAATACAAAAAATTAAAAATTGATTTGGTTTACACTTGGATGATTGACTGCAGGTGACAGACACACCTGGTCTACTAAGGAGACATGATGGTAAGACACGTGTGATACTATGTTTTTCTTGTATTTGTATATACGTATGTAGCATGTCTCTACATTCTACTTCACACTTGATGGTAAGATACTTAATAGTATTTTTTCCTCTAGTATTTGTAAATAAGCATGTGGCATAAAATGTCTCTTTGCATTTTAAAGTACATAGGATGAATTTATATGTAGCATTTGTTTTGCAGTTTAAATTTCTACTGAGAAATTTTATTTGGTGACTTGAAAGAACTAGCTTCATGTTGACATAATGGAACTTGCTAAAGCAAGTTGTCTTCACAAGAAATAAAAATGAAAAAATATATATTATATTGCAACATTGTAGGTGCATGGATTTGGGTTTCTTATGTGGCAAGCCATCGTAAGGCATGAGCTAAACTAGATTTTCTTGGCCAGATTTGCTTTGTTGCACAACTCTGCTCTACCAGTTCCACTTGGCTAGATTTGCTTGGATAGCTCACTTTTGCTCCATTAGATCTAGTTGGCCAGATCCGCTCACGCTGTGTAACTATTGAGTCCTGATTGTTTTGAATAGCTTGATATACATTGTTGGGCCTATTTCCTAATAACTTAGGCTTTTGAAAAAATTGGTAACTTAACATAATATCAGAACAGAGCTCTGATTGAAAGAGGTCTTGGGTTCAAGTCCCTCTATTGACATTTGGTATTCGGTCTCCGTTTGATTTCTTCTTCTTTGTTTGGTTGTTTGCTTGTCTTTCTGTTTGGTTCTTTGTTTGTCTCTCTACGTGCAAGACGGGTTGCACATGTGGGAGGGTGTTAAGTAGTTTAATATACATTGTTGGGCTCATTTCCTAATAGCTTAGGCTTTTGGAAAAATTCATAACGTAACAGATTGGAACGAAAACCTGAATCTATCATGCATGCCTTGGTTGAGAACAGGGCCAAGGAACCCTGGGGTTGGTGCCTCAGTCATAGGACACCCGAGTGACTCGTGATCTTGCGTAGGATCACTAAAGGACTTGTGGATTGACGGTCAGAGCTTAGGGATCCTCAAAGTTGCTTGGCCTACTCCCTCGGGAGTCGGGATGGCTCCACTTCGGCCAACTTTAGGCAAGAAGAGAGAGAGGCTTCCACAAGAAGACAAGACCAGATGTTGACCAAGGCATCTGACACCTCGTAAGATGTAACACACCTATTCACTGAGCCACCTCAAAGAGTGTATCATGCCTACTCACACCTACTCATTCTCTCTCTCTCTCTCTCTCTCTCTCTCTTTCTCTCCACTTTAAGGGTAGCTCAACTTTCTCCCTCTCCACTTCTGGTGGTCTGACGCCATCTCAATGCCTACCATGATTCTTAGAGGGCACATGGTTTACCCACATTATCAACAATCATCAACAATTGTTTTTCAAGGTGACTTTGTAGTATCTTGAGAACAATGTTAACAAACTAAAAAAATGCAACTAGTTTCAAATGCATTCCTAATTGGATCGGGTTACTATAGCATAACAAAAAATACCAACATGGAGTCAAGTTTGTTCTTGAGTTAAAAACTTTTGGCCAACGTTTGGGTTGAATTTTGAATTCATGCTTCATCAGATATCATCGCCTACTAAGTTTTATTTGTGCTACTTGTACAAACGTTACTGATATGATAAAAGACATGTATAATGGAGTTGTGACAACAATTAGATCACCTACAGGATAAAGCATTGAATTTCCAATCATTGTAAAGTTGTATTTAAGGTTAACTTTGAGTTTGTATCTATTTTCTTGTCATGGATGAATTAATTAAACATATGCAAGATGATGTCTCATGGTATATGTTGTTCGCAAATGACATTTGCTCCAGTGGATGAAATTAATGAAGGAATTAATGATATGATAAAAGACATCTATAATGGAGTTGTGACAACAATTAGATCACCTGCAGGATAAAGTATTGAATTTCCAGTCACTGTAAAGTTGTATTAGAAGAGAGTTATAAAATATTGGCTTACCCTAATTTGGGTGAAGACCATGTCTAATTTGGGTGAGACCATGTCTATATATAATCAATACAAGATACATGGAAAAAGGAATTAAATAATTACACAATCAAACCCTAAAATTAAATTCCTAAATTAAATATGCAATATTCCATATTCCAACACTCCCCCTCAAGCTGGATCAAAGATGTCAACCAACCCTAGGTTGCCAATGGAAGATCGAAGTAGGGATGGTTCTACAGATTTGGTGAAGATGTCGGCAGTCTGATCAGAAGACGGAACAAATGAAGGACATACAATGCCAGCTCGAACCTTTTCCCGGATAAAATGAATATCAACCTCAATATGCTTAGTACACTCATGAAGCACAGAGTTAGAGGCAAGTAAGATGGCAGACTTATTGTTACAAAATAGCTTAGAGGAATTATTCTCCTCAAAGCCTAACTCAGTAAGAATGGACCGAAGCCATAGTAACTCACATGTCCCATGAGCCATGGCGCGGTATTCAGCTTCAACAGATGATCGAGAAACAACCGCCTGTTTTTGCTTTTCCATGACAGAAGATGGGTACCAAGGAAGGTGCATACCCCAGAAGTGGAACGTCTATCAGTTAATAAACCGGTATAGTCTGCAGCAGTAAAACAAGACAATCCTGTCTGAATCCCACCATTAAAGAATAAACCCAAACCTGGACATGGCTTGAGATATCTCAAGATGTGGTGAACAGCATCAAGGTGAGCAGTACGAGTTGAATGCATAAACTGACTAACCACACTTGCAGCAAATGTTAAATTTGGTCGTGTATTAATCAAATAGATCAAAGGTCCTACCAATCTCTGGTAGCGAGTTGGATCAGAAAGCAACTCACCAGACTCAGCCGAAAGTTTCAAATTCGGATCCATAGGAGTAGAGGCAGACTTGCACCCCATCATACCGGTGTCCCGAAGAAGATCCAAAGTATACTTCCGTTGGGACAATGATATCCCACTGCGAGAACGAGCTATTTCAATCCCCAAGAAATATTTGAGAGGACCCAAGTCCTTGATGTCAAAAACTCGACTAAGCTCCTGTTTTACCTTAGCAATACCAATGGTGTCATTTCCTATGAGGATGATATCATCCACATAGACCAACAAAATAATACATCGACCAGTGGGCTGACGACGAATGAAGCATGAATGGTCGGAGTGACATTGAGTAAAATCCATGGATAGGATAACAAAGCTGAAACAATGGAACCATGCACGAGGAGATTGCTTCAAGCCATAGAGAGACTTATGCAAACGACAAACCTTGCCAGCATACTCCTCCTCAGCTCGAAACCAGGGTGGAGGATCCATGTAGATCGTCTCAAGCAAGTCCCTATGGAGAAAAGCATTATTGACATCAAGTTGATGAAGGTGCCAAGAAGAAGAGGCAGCCAAGGAAATAAATAAACGAACAGTGGTCAATTTAGCAACCGGTACAAACGTAGCCCCAAAGTCCTTGCCAGGAACCTGTGTAAAGCCCTTAGCAACAAGATGAGCCTTATAGCGGTCCACTGTACCATCAGCTAAGTATTTGACAGTAAAAACCCACTTGCACCCAACAGTTGTCTCAATAGAAGGTAAAGAGACAAGATCCCAAGTGTGATTATGCTCCAAAGCAGCCATTTCAGTTTGCAGAGCGGCAACCCATTGGGGATTCTGGAGAAACTTAGACACAGACCGCGAGACAGACACCGACTCAAGTTGGCCAAGAAAAGACCGATGAGAAGCTAAAAGGGCATCATAACATAAAAACTGGGAAATAGGGTGATTAGTACTACTAAACCAATGAAACCGATTAGGGGCACGGTGTTCACGGGTTGGATACTGAGAAGGAGCTAGAGAGGGAATAGTAGAGGGTGTACCTTAGCTTGAGGACGAAGAAGATGCTGGAGGGGGCGGAGCACGAGGGTGACGAGAGCATGCCTGTAATGGCAGAGGACTAGCAGGTGGTGCAGATATAGGTGATGAGGAAGGAGCAAAGGAATCAATGATAGGAACAGGGCGAGCACTCGGTGACACGCGAGGTGGAATCCTGAAACACTGGGTTAGAACCAAAAAATGGTATGGCTTCGCAAAATGTGACATCCATAGAATGATAAAAACTACGAGACAATGGATCATAGCACCTATAGCCTTTAGAGAGAGCGGAATAGCCCAAGAAGATGCATTTAAGAGACTTGTTATCTAACTTGGTTCGAGTTGGACTACGATCCTGAACAAAACAAGTACAACCAAACACATGAGGCACAAGAGGAAATAACATAGTATTTGGTCGAAGTAATTGAAAAAGGGCCAACCCGTGAAGAATCCGACTAGGTGTCCGATTAATGAGGTAAACAGCAGTAAGCATAGCCATATGCCAGTAGGACTTAGGGACATGCATCCCACAAAGAACACGCCAGACAATAGACATAATATGACGGTTTTTACGTTCAACAATCTCATTTTGTTCAGGGGTGTAAGTACAAGTGAGTTGCTGCAAAATTCCCTGCTGATTAAGTTGGGAGCGAAATGAATTGGAGATGTACTCCCCCCCATTATCAGAACGAACATTGCATACAACGGTGTGGAATTGGGTTTTGATCATTTAGAGAAATTGAATAAAAAGTGGAAGCACATCAGACTTCTTTTTAAGTAAATAAACCCAAGTACACCTAGAATGGTCATTTATGAAAGTTACATAATAGCGATGCCCAGAAAAAGCCAAAAGAGGAGAAGGACCTCAGATATCAGAGTGAATAAGGTCAAACATACAGGAGACACGATACATGCGAGGAATATAAGAAGTACGAGTATGTTTAGACAGTTCACAAACAACACAATGAAACTGATGATCCTTGTAAGCTTTATTAAGTGACGGAAAAAGTAAACATAAATAATTAAATTTTGCATGTCCTAAACGAGCATGCCACAAGGCAAAAGTTTGAAAAGAAAACACATAGGAAGACGACTCAGATAACACAACTGCTTGCAGGACAGAAGTGGTAGGATGAGAAGGGGGTGGGTCTCC